TTTTTTTCTGTCAAAACATACAATTGCTAATTTTTATTTGTGTATTTCAGAATTTGTAAAAAAGGCGATAATCGTTCCAACGAGGTGTTGATATTGACAAAAGCTGGCTTACCATTAAACCAGCTCACTAACGCACTCTCAAAGATAATTACGAGCCTTGCAAAGCAGAAAGAGTGCAAATACTTAAACGCCGAAAGCATATTAGCCATAATTGGCCAACGTACTTAAAGGAGTCAAATAGTCGAGAGCAAATAGCGACTTATTATATTAAATAACTAAAGCAATTTTTAGAGAATAAACTACGAGTGATTATACTGGTTGTCGCACTCTAGATATTAGTGAATACTAAGCAAAAAAAAAAATACACAAACGATAAGAGAATAAATCAATTACAACAACAACAGCTAAACGCATTGCCAGCAGCGCCTACATCCTCAAAGGATCAATCTTTTGTCCAGTGGTAGTGTATAAATAAAAACCGCCAAAATTCTTCCCTTTGCAAATTTTAAAATACAACCACAGCCAATGCACAAGATGGCAGCACCGACAGGAGCAGCGCCGACGGCGGCACTTGAGGCCCCACTATCCGCACCGAAATATGGTACGCTTATACCAAAAGAATTTTCGTCGGCGGCATAAGGTGAGTGTGGTAGCTTGAAAAGGCTTATTTTCTAACTATTTATAACTTATGCCGAATTTTCACTGGTATTAAATGATAAAAATTTTAATTACATTATTTAATTTTTTTTTTTATTAATTGATATAATTTGCGAATACATTTTCGTTATGAGTTAAATGTAAATTCTTAATATGTTTTTTTATTTACTTAACTTATTTTGCTGCCTTAATTCAATCTACTCGTCCGCTTGGTCGAGGAGCCATTTTCCGACTGCATTTTTTTTTTTTTATTTCAATGCCCGTGGAAATTCGGTATTAATAATTTTCAATCTAATATTATGGCTTACTAACTTGTTTATATTTTCTCTATAACGCGCACATTAATTGGACAACTGCTCTCTCAACACATTAACCGTTAATACCACAAATAGTGGCGACACAACAGAGTCGGACTATGCCGCGTTTTTTCTGCCTATGGCAATGTCAAGTCTACCAAGATTATAGTCGATCGTGCTGGAGTTAGCAAGGGTTATGGTTTCGTCACTTTCGAGACAGAACAGGAGGCACAAAGGCTGCAGACGGATGTAAGTAGATTTGCTTTTGTTGCAGGCTTTGTAATACACATATAATAAATTATTTCGCAATTATGGCACATTTACCGCTTTGATATTTTAGTTTTGTCATTTAGTTGTAATGAAAAAAAAATAATAAAAAAACAAAATGAAACACTTGCAAATCAAAGTAAAGCTTACAAATTGAAACTTAAATCTGAGTTTAAATACTCTATATTTTGTACGAGTACGAAATGAAACTTTCTGGTTGTCAATTTAAATAATTAAAAATTAAATAGGCCTTTTGTTGTTTCGTTAGCAAAATTGCCCAGAAAATTTAAATATTAATTAGTATTGTTTTTTTTTTTATGATTATATACTTTCATCTTATATAGGCATATTCATGATGAAAATAAAAAAAGGCGGTACATCTTTTGCGTTCGATTGTGCTGAACTAGCCCAATTGTGTAAATTGTGCAAATGCATTTGATGTTTGTGCACTGATTGTGTGCAAGGTAATCGCGAAATGAAACGGAAAGTTTATTTATAAAGCAAAAAAACAAAAAAAAGAAAGCCGAATGCCGTTGAATGCATCCCTTCGAACAAGTTTGCTTGCTTCGATGTGTGTCTAGCGAATGTTATATATAAAGCGTTAAGCAGCTGCTTAGCCGTTAAGCAAAGCATTTAAAAAACTGCTGAGAAACGAACGAAAAACGAACGGTTCATAAGCAGCAAACTATGCAAACAGTACGAAATGCAAGGGAAATAGATTGCTGCTGCTGCTGCTGCTGCCGCCGCGGTTCTTTTGGCGATCGTAACGTTCGTGCCTCTGAAGGCGTATTTCGACTGTTGTTACAACGTGTGACCGATTTTTGACCAACCAACCAAACTCACTTATGCACAAACACACGCGCACACATATACGTAACTGTAATGTGTAAAGATTCTCGATATTTACAACAGCATTCTACTGCTAGCGCCATTACTACCTACTACTACTACTACCACCACTGCTGTTTATTTAAAATAATTAAATAAACAAAAAATTCGACTACTGCTTCTACACTTCTAAGAACTTCTGTGTTCGTTCAATGATCAGGGAAGCGAAAATAAAACTAGCTAATTCTGTTTGTTGAGTTTGTTTTGAAATTGACTTTTTTTAATTCAATTACTTGTACTCGAGTTAAGCTATTTAATAATTAAATAATAATCACCCACGCTGCAGCAGTTTGTTCTATTAAATGAAATGAGTTTTTTTTTTTTAATAAACCTTTTTTTCGATTCACAATTTTTAAAAATTTAGTTTGCAAATAAAACTTTGTTCGACATTTGTTCACTTTATAAAAATTCCATGCACACATAGCAATCCAGTTTTGCATATGCCTGGATACAAAATTTGAAATTGAATATAAAAGCGATCTTATGTAAATTTTAGCTATCCTTAGCTGCAAATTTTATAGTCGATTTTTGCAAAATACTTACTTTGTTTGTGCTGGCCACAAAAGTACATACATATACATACTTACTAGATAGTGCTTCGTTATTATTATATATACATACATATGTACATGTATACTTCTGATTTTTCTTGAAGATTGTTTTTTTTTTCGTTAGCAAAAGCAGTTCCAGCTAAATTTGTATTGTACAGTTGTTAGTATGATGCGTTTACTTTTTTTTTAAGTTTTCCTTTATTTGTAAATCGTCAAGTTATGTACTAGGTGAATTATGTGTTTGCAAATACATATACATACATATATATTTGCATACATATGTACATTTATTTTTTTGTATAATAATTAATTAATTTCTTTTGTAATTACAAATGTGCATAATACGCTCCTTAATTTGCAGTGCAAATAAAACCAGCAGGGGTGGACTCCATATATAGTCTTTTGTGCAAATAACTTTATGTATATATATATATATAGGTATATATATGTAATATTGCTAATATGTAAATTTTTCTATTAACAATGTTACCAAAAAAAGCTGACAATAAATAATTTACACACAACGACAAAAAAAAAATTCCTGAAATATTTATCGAATGAGTATATTTTCGATTTCATCGTAAGCGACAAAAGGCAAATTTTATAGGAGCGCGGATCTTTTTTATTTATCCCTTAAACAGTGTGATAATTTATTGGAATTTAAATGGCCAGCAATACTATTTTTGCAAATCTTAATGTTTATTTTATCAGGGGTTAATAGGGGTTAAACTCACCGCGAACCTGGGCACAGCATGGAGAAATGATTAGATTAGATGAAATTTTAATTATTTTGATTTTTTGTTCGAAAATAGGAAAGTCAAAATCAAAACCACTTTGATCTCACAGCCGATTTTCTTCCCACAATAAAAGTCCAATCGGGTCAAATCGCTGCTCTGAAGTTGCCAATTGAAATTGCCTAGACTAGACGCCAGATAAAACGACTACCGAACTTAGCGCGCCAAAGTTCGATTTTTACATGGCACGCCATGCTGCTAATCGTCCAAGTCCATGTCTGCAATTTCTAGCAACAAAAAAAAAAAAAGTTCATCATGTCTTTATAGCGCTCACCGTTGACCGAAATGGTATTTCTAGCAGGATTTTCAAAGAACAATGTCACCACTCCAAAATCCGCACCAAACTGTACCTCGCTTTCCCCCTCTCTCTCTGTCTGAGGATGCGTTGACTTCTCACGACGATCACGTGCGGGATTTCCGATCCCCAGATGTGACACTTTTGCTTTAGTTTTAATGTATTTTTATGATTGACATCAAATCAATGTATACAATATATTTGTAAGAATTTACGCCTTGTGGGCAATCTTCTATCTATTCAATGAGCACATAGCCACAAATTAAGGCTCCAACATAGAAATAATGTTTAGTAGCCATATGGCTACCATGGAAAGGAAAGAGCCAGCGTCAGAAAAATATGATTTTTCAAGCTGCATAAGTTTGCATTATTTCCCAACGTGGTTCAACGTAAAGCAATATACTTTTATTTCCGCGGTGATATTATGACTTTTTGAAAGAGCTGTCACTGTCAAAATAACATACATATGATTAAAAAAAAACCGCTGTAAGGACCGCGCGTCACATTCAGTACTGACATTTTTCTTTAGAGCTTTGCGACAATTAAGTTCATGAAATTTTTATTTCTCACAATAATATACATAGCTCGACTTCGAGCTACATCGTTATAACAACTAAATAGGAGCGTTTCAGTTTCAATGTAAATATTTGCAATGTTTAACAAAGTTTTATTTACAAACTTATTTGTCTTCTTTTTTTTTAGACTGTACCATATAAAACTAGCATTACCACGAAATTATCGTCTCAACTAGCACTANATAATTTAGTGTTTTGCCGGCTCGAGGTCAATTTTAAAAATTCTTTTATGAAAACACAAGTTTTTTGGTGTTTATTTCCGATATATTTCGATTACGCTTCGATAACCGTCCTCAGGGCAAATTAATTTACACGTCCGCACTGTTTGACGTGGTACTCCAAACTCGCCGAAGCGTAATCGAAATATATCGGAAATAAACACCAAAAGAATTTTTAAATTTGACCTCGAGCCGGCCAAACACTAAATTACAAGTAGAAAGGTCGCTAAAACCATCTGTAAAAAATAAAATAAATTCGCCTAGAAAAGTACTATTTTCAAAAACTGACTTCGTATTTCATGAGAACGGATGCTGACGTCTACATACATATTACAGTAATCTGCGTGAAAAAAAAAATTGTCCAGCATTGTATCTACATACATATGTATATCGATTATGAAACCAATTGTGCTTAGTGTAAATTAGCAGGAACTGTCTTTTACTTCTGCAGTGTCTCCTTCAGCGTTTTTACCGCCTCGTAGTGTGTCTTTGAACAGTTTGTCGTTTCTACCGCTAATTATTGTTTAATATTTAATATGTTTTTTTTTCTTCTTCTTAAATTGTTTACGTTCATTATTATTTCGTTTTATTACATACATATATTGTTGTATCTGATTTTTCATTAACCATTAAAACTATTGTTGTCGGTTTATCACAAATTAATTTTCGTTGTACATTTGCCAAGTTTCGAAAGTGCGTTAGATTTTTATTTATTTATAGTTATTGTTACGTTTGGTTTCATTTTGCAGCCACTGTGCTTGTGCGTTACATAATTTAATTGGTTAATTTAAAATTACTTATAAAAAAAAAAAACAAAACAAAATTGGTTCTCAGTGAGTATCTATTAAAAAAGAAAATTTTTTTCGTTCACATAATCGACGTTCAATTTCTGCTGTGTTTTTTCTAAACAAATGTTCGTACATATTTTTGGAGTATTAGTTGTTATACTTTCTAAGAGCTTTTCCCATTAAT